TATCCAAAGGAAGCAAAGAAACATTAGAAAGGCAGACCACACAAGCTTCAGTTTCCAAGCTGCCACATCACAGCTGAAAAGAACTAAAAAGCAGACCTTAAACGCTTTACTACTAGGAAGGAAGCTGCACAGCCTCAGTACAAAACACAGCAACCCGGCTGCTCAGTATGACAGGCTGGTGTGAACATAACCCCTCAGAATTCTTCTCTTCTCCACTCACCTCAAAACACAGCGCTCAGCTCAGAGGTTGTGCCCTGATGTTCAAAGCCCTCCATGAGACTGGCTCTACCAATCAAAGCGACTAGCGCTCGCTCCCAGGAACATGATCTCTCGTCCCAGCTGTGATTCACTGGAGAGAGAAAAATGCAATTGCCTCCAGACAGGAAAGCATCAGTAGGGCAAGGTGCAAAACCGTGGAAACAAGACAGGCTTAACATCTGTAAAACTCCCTTTCAAAAGGAAATGGATGGTCAGAATAGCATTGGTGCAAAACTGCCTTTTTTAAAAATGTAGAGTTTTTGGTATTTTTTTTTTAAAAAACACACACACACCATGCTGTGCATGTTTCCCCAAGTCACTGAATTTTTCCAAATCGCAGAGTTTCCAAAGAAGGGACCAGAAACCATGTTTGCTTAAATCTTCCTACATATTCTCATACAATAAAGTTAAATTATTCTGTGGTGTTTCAGTCTCACCTCCATCACATGGTGTGTGTGTGTGTGTTCGTTTGATGTTTTTCTAAAGTGGTATTATGATACAATATACTCTTAAGAGTATGCATTGGCTCCCAGTTTGGTCCATGTTCAGACTGGAACTAATTCATCCCATGCCCTTCTGAAGATACTCCTGTTAAATATGTGCCGATGCGGATTTCCAAATATTTCATGGGGGAAGGAGAAGGAAAACATTCCTGTGAACAGGAAATGCAAACAGCCATGATTTTGGAGAGGGCCTGTTACAAAGCATCATCAGTTTTGTGCCCAGAAAGCCTTTTACCCTGGCACATGTTCATCAATGGGAATAGGCAGCAGCATTTTATTTACTTCAGCAACCCAGGAAGAGTAGCTGTAGCACTCTAAGTAAGAAGGTGGAGGACAGCTACAGTGGCACCACTGCATCAACAAGGAGGAGGAAAGCAAGGGTGGATGAAGGACACACAGTAACATTCTAGCTTCTGATCTAATCACTGAGAACCTGTACAATTGGCATTCAACTACAAACACATGCACACTCATTCCTCATAGTATAGCAAGTTATAATACAGGAGGGGAGGGGAGGGAAATTTAAAGATGAAGTGCCCTGGCAATATGCTATACCAACATAAGTTCCTTATTTTGGACTACAGCTAAGCAAAATGTCACAGATAGTGGCCAGAAAGGAATATATACAGCCTGGTGACTTCAGTCAGCCACCAGACTAGTCAGGAGAGATTTTGAGCTATGATGAGTGGGGAGTGAAGCTCTCTGATTTCTTCTCAGCTGATGCTAAGCAAACAGCTTTCTTATAAGGTATGTATACCTTCATTTTCCCTTTCCCTGCTTTAATTATAACATTTTTTATTTTAACATTCTAAAAAACAGTAATGCCAGATTTGATATGAGGGATCCACGGGAGAGCTGCTGTATCTTCTGATTATGTGTGAATTCTTTGCTGTGGCCTATGGTCACCACTGAAATGTACAAATAGCCCAAATTTTGTTACCGTGTCAGCACTCAGCCAAAAAAAGAGTACAGAACCCTAATATACATTAATGATTATTAATGGAATAAACTAGAACAGATCATGTCCAAGCTACTTTTATGTTTATACAAAAGTATTAACTATCCAGTATTTCTTTTTTTACCCCAGGTGGTTTGCAGTGAAAGGACTTGCAAGTATGTAAACTATACTTGTGTGACTACAAAGGAACTATTAAGGTTAGTCAAATATCACAATATCACTGATATTCTAGTATAATAAACCAGTAATTCTTAATAGAATTTCTTTTCTTTTTAAAAATACAGTGGTGCCTCGCTTGACGATAATCCATTCTGTTCAAATCACTATTAAGCGAAATCGTCGTCGAGCGAAATTTAAAAACCCATTAGAATGCATTAGAAACCAATTAATGTGTTCTAATGGGTGAAATACCTCATCGTCCAGTGAAGATCCTCCATGGGGGGGGTAATTCTTAATAGAATTTCTTTTCTTTTTAAAAATACAGTGGTGCCTCGCTTGACGATAATCCATTCTGTTCAAATCACTATTAAGCGAAATCGTCGTCGAGCGAAATTTAAAAACCCATTAGAATGCATTAGAAACCAATTAATGTGTTCTAATGGGTGAAATACCTCATCGTCCAGTGAAGATCCTCCAGGGGGGGGCATTTTCTGGTGCCTGTAATGCGAGGAATCCGTCCCTAACACAGCGGGGAGCCATTCTGAAACCCGACAATCAGCTGTTTTCTGATCGTCATTAAGCGACAAATTGGTTCCTGAAGTAGGGAACCAATCATTGTCAAGTGAAAAAATCCCGTAAGAACATTGTTTTGCGATCGCAATAGCGATCGCAAAAAACCCATCGTAAAGCGGATTCATCGTTTAACGAGGTAATCGTTAAGCGGGACACCACTGTACTATATTGGAGTCATAACTTTACTATCCCAAGCTGCTAAAATACTTTCAACTAGCTGAGGAGAATTACATTAAAATCAGATTTCTGGGATTTTACTCTAATAGATGCCAGGGTCAACATGATGCTCCCCAAACATGAACATAATTAACTAGTGTATGATAGTTGGGTAACACATGTCCGGTGCAACACTTGTTGTCTGAATAAATATTTCGAGATCAAGCTGTAGCTAAAGGAAAATAAAAGATGCCTTCAGTGACATATACCAAATTTCAGAGCCTAAACTAGCACAAGCACACTGCAATGAAAACGTACACAACCAAACTGAAGAATAATGCTAGTATTCTAAAGAAGAATATTCCAAATTCCCTCTCTGTTTTTCTCAATATTCCAAGTAAGTCATTAACTAGCCAATATTTCATGTCCACGTATCATTGCTCATCATGATACAACACTGAGACCCACACATCTTTTTTTAATAGCAGGGTTTTTAAATGCACAGAGCATCCAAATGGAAAGCTGACTATTTTCCAACAGTAAATTATCAGTAAACAGCAATTATAAATACATGTTCACATCAATCTGTGCCACAGAATTACAGTGCAATTACTGTTAAGTTGTTAACAGAACCTTACAAAAAGTACAGTTCAAGAAAGCATCAAGACATTTGTTTGGCCCAGTCATATAAAGGTATCAGTGACATTACCAATACACACAAAATTTATACATGTAGGAAACATGTTGTTTGTCTTTGTCTCATATTTATTTCCGTTCTCTACCAACCAAAGTTCACTATAATGCTGTGCAGACAACCTTGAGAAACTCTCATATTTTCTCGTTATCCAAGTTATGAGTTCCCAGAACAGCCCAATTAAAAAAAAATAAAACTGAAGCCTCACGTTTTAAGGGGGGGGGAGATCAGTCTTAATTTCCCACCCTTTGCGATTCTGTTGTAATATACGAAATGCTTTAAAAAAACATAAATATCATTTATGTCTTGTTTATGCACACAATGTAAACCAAGCCTATACAACTTGGGTCTACCAAGTTTAGCACAAACTGTTATGGTCAGCCAGGTAAGTAGAGAAAGGAATAATTTCTCTGCATGGTGCAGCTGCTGACTACTTGCTTTATTTTTCCCTGCCAAGAAACTAGCATTTTCTGGTCCATTTTTACAGATGCAGTCAGGAAGCAAGAAAAAGTGTGGTAGATTCCTGGCTAGACAGACCAGAGAGGTTCTGTTCCTTAGCCATGACTTGGTCAAATCTGGCATACAGTTGACTGGCTAAGTTGAGATACCAAGTTGTTGGGGGGGATGAAGGCAAACCTGTCTAAGATGCTAGTTTTGCTTAATTAAAAAAAACTCCTGTATAAAGCATAGGCCTAGCATAAGTTCCTGGCTAAAAAACAGGAGGGGGAGTCAAAAACACAAGGCATGTGAATTCAGTTTCATCATGTTTCATTTCTAATTTTAAGAACAAATGTGAAGCTTGTTTACAATTCAATATCCAAATAGTTCAGAGTTATAGACAAAATTCAAAACTAGTGTGAAAGGTCTGTGGTGGGGAAAAAACACCCTATAAGAAAGTCTTGTCACTTCAGCCATAGGTGAAAACTTACAAATGTATGCCATCAAGACAATTCAGTAGCAGTGGATCAATTATTAAGGCATTTTGGAGGCATAAGCTGTTTTTAAAAATTCATAGCAGAATTTAATTATTGTTCCTTTCAGTCATTGAATATATTAAATTTTCACCAAAAATGTTCGTACTGCTCAATTATGTTTTAAAAATTGTGTATTAAAATATCAGGAAAGCAAATGTCTGCTATTAAGAATATTAAATATCAGGGTATAATTCAGTCAAAACTAAGTGTGATGTAGTCACAAAATACGCACATATAAATCTCTCCTGTTGAATTAAAAAGTGCCCAAGTCTTGTAGGATCATGTCCTGATAGGTTATAATCAACAAAAATAGTCAAATCTGGCTGTCACCTTTTGCAGCTGCCAGAATATATTTTATTAAGGGTTTTCGGTGGGTGGCAGGGTGCTGTTAAGTGTTTTGTTTCCTTGGTTAGAAAACATCTACAATAAAATTTCTTATATAAGTCAAATCACAATATAATCTCTTACTTTATTACTACATTAGAAAAAAACTAACATGATTCATCATATCCAAATACGAATTCTAATTTACAACAGCAACAAAAACTCAGATCAGAGGCTACATATAGCCACACGGCAGTAGTAGCAAACATGAACAGTACAACTGTGGGCAGTGTAGCTGGCAAGAGTGTCACTGAACTGTGGTTTGTACACAACATCTTAGCCATGTCGTCCTGAACTCAGAGGCTATTGTAGCTGGCCTCTTGCGAGATCAGTTTCTTGTCACGCAAGTGTCATTTCACATCATTGGGAAAGTGAAACATTAAATATTGATAGGCACATACAAACACGCTGGTTTCAGCCACTCTCATGTGCTCAGTGGCTTCATTCTGTTTTCTTTGAATGCCTCATTTTAGCACTGCCGCTTGTCTCTCCACCCATCGTCCGGTCCGCCGAGGAAGCCCCATTATGAGGTACTCTGGCCTCACCCTTTCCTCTGGAGTCAGTTGGCTGCCAACCAAAGAGGAGGTACGCCAGTGTCTTTTCAATTGGAGCAAATGGAGAAGTTGGGCGTTGTGTAAGCATCATGGTTACCTGCAAGAAAAACACAGCAAAGGCATCAGCACCACAATTGGCTGAAAGAACCAACCTAGCATTTTCTGACAAAAAGAAAAAAATTCTTTATACAGAACTGCTGGTCAGTTCATAAGACCTCCATCTCTAAAATTCATATTTATGTAGGCTTTTGTTGGCAACACACAACTCCATGTTTGCCACATGGCAGAGTAATGGTGCAGTTGCTGCCAGATGGTCTGTGCGTAGTCATTTTCCACCACCAAGGAATCACACAGAAAATACTGCAACCAAAATTTTTTAACCACTTTACACTCCCACCACATATGAAAATACGTACCAATTTCCTCATCACATTTCCAACATGCTTTGGAGTATGCTGGATTTATTATATTTAATTTTACAGGAGTAAAATTTTGGGAATTGATTTTTAAGGAAATGTGTGATATATTGGTAAAGATATTGATTTTAATGCTAAAATTGCTTTATTGTCAATTTTTAATTACACAGATTTGGATTATTACTCAAAATAATTAATCACCAATTTTATGACAAGTGCTAGAATATTAATAGCTAGATTTTGGAAAGACAAAAATGATATTAAAATAGAAGACTGGTATTGTGAAGTATGGGACATTGCATTAAATGATAAATTGACTATTGAACTTAAAATAAAAAGAGGGGAAATAAGTTCTAACAATTTTTATGATATTTGGGGTAAATTTGTAGAATTTGTGTTAGTGAAAGGAAGGGGGAAAGCCTCTAAAGAATACTCAATACAATTTTGGAGAGGTAATCTGTAATAAAATATTATTAAATGGAGTCCCATGGGTATGGGGTACATGTTAGAATTTAGTTTATAATAAGCACTATTATTTGTATTTTTCTGTATTTTTGTTGTTATATATGTGTCTTTGGTGTGTTTTTTTGTATTATGAAATAAAAAATAATTTAAAAAAAAGAAAATACTGCAACCAAAAACAGAATCAAGGCTTCTGTGTTCCTAATCTTCAACTGGCCTTGCCACCAGGATTATAGGTAGAATGATGAATACCACATAACACCTAGCCATGACACAATGTCTTTAAGGGTGGGTGGTCATATATGCACTAGTCATAGAGTCCACGGGGGTTGTCCTGGGAAGAATATTTAGGAAAACATGTCTGCCTCCATCTCTCCAAGACTACAGACAGTCACATGGCAGGATTAGCATCACATAAAATCTGCTGACTTCTTCAGATGGCAAGAACAAGGAGCACCCTGCTCTAGTTAGGTGTGATTCTCTTATAAAACATTCCTCTTTTTTCCCCCAAAAAAGCCCCAAAGTGGGGAGGAGATGAAACCAGATCGACTCATTTCTAGTTTCAATTTTCAGGGGATGAAGTCTATTGTGGGTTCCAGAGAGTGGAAGCTGCCCCACTGAAGTTGCTCACCCCTTGCTGCAGATGACAGATGTGGAATATACACAAATGTCATTCAAAATATAGAGATTGAGAACAAAAATAGAAGAGATAGCAGGTCCACAGTTAGAAAATAAAACATTATAACTTCATAGATGCATTTTTACAGCTCCTTTGTTATGTACCTATGCCATCAATGTCTGTTTTTTTACCTTTCAACAATCAGTTTGCAAACTAAAACAAGCTAATTTACAACTTGTAAAGCCGTGAAACAACACTGGACCATCAATTTCAAAATGTTACGATACCATTCTGGTTCAGATTGTTTGTGATCTAAGGAAAAGGTTCATCTGAAATCAAGACCATGCTACTGATTTGATATCATTTTAAACAGACATTCCTAGTATATGATCATCCTTAAATGCAGCCATCAGCAGATAAAAGTACACAAGGTTTACTCAGCAGATTACCAAGTTATTCACAGTACCAAATGCATTATGCCCAGGTGACTTGTCAAAACCCAAGAACTTTCAAAGTCTTACCTTTGTAACCACCAAGAAGATAGTGTAGAAGAACATAAGGTTGTGCTTTTCTATTGGAAGGAAAGAGATATGCTGCATCGTGAACAGTACTGCTCCAATCAAGCTGACTTTCACAGGGCTGGCATAGAAACACAGAGACAAAACTAAATCAATAAATACAAAAGACAAGACGTGCTCCTCTCAAGCAAAGAATTCCTATGTCTCTCCACCCAGATATTAAGAATTTATATATGAAAAATCACCACTGCCAGAGAGAAATTTCGATTTACAAATAGGGCACAGACTTTAAATTAGCAGACCAGCTAAAGCTCTAGTCCAGAAGTAGATCTATTGGCAGATTTCTGTCTGGATCTATTGGCAGATTTCTGGATAACTGCCAGATTTCTGCAGAACGTCTGGCTGCCAACTATTCATTCATCCATTCATTTTGTATGCCACTCCCATTAGTGTCACAGCACTACTCTGGGCGGGTTACAACTCGTAAAATAAAAAACAAAAACAAAAATAGAGATGTTAAAACCGACAGCAATAACCTCTTTAAAAAACCCAGATAGCACCAACGAATCCCAGAGCAGATGGAGGAAAAAAGAAGACAGGAAAGGAAAAAATGTGTGGGGGGGTGTCAGCTGTGGAGTCAGTGTGGAAAGCCTCCCTGGAAAGCAATGCCTTTAATTGCTTCCTAGAAGTCCACAGGGAGGGGGACTTTATAAAAACAAATCCCATCAACCATCATCCTAAACAATACTGCTGACATGAAGAAAGCCTGGCATAATCCACAAGTTCATCGTTTTGTGGAAGGACTGTCGGTGGCCCTCAGTTCTGCTATGTGAAATAACTTCCTGTGCAAAGAATTCTCTAATTCTATGGCTTAGGCTCTGGTGGATGGATCATGGGATTCTAGCAAAAAATCAATCTGAAATCTGCCCACCCAAATTCCATTCAACTGCTTGGCACGGACTAGTTTTAACTGGTTGGCTATCCAGAGGTATTTCTCATAGCGCAGTCACACTCAGTAAAACTGATGTCTACCCAGATGTAAGATCAAGTCAACTCAACGGGGGCCTACTCCCAAGTAAGTACTGAAGCCAATGACTGCAATACTTTCTTGGGACTAGGTGTGTTATGGCAATCAAGAATGAAAGAAAATATATTGAAGATTGTCATACAAGCCCACCTGGGTACCTAAAGAACTCAAAAGAAGCTTTTCCTAATGACAGCTGCTGAATTAAATATGACCTAGACTTTTTGGGACTTAGTAAGTGTCAGACCCAGAACCTTCACCCAAGCCCAGAAACAGAAATGGTTTTAAATTTAACAGACCCCTTGACACAATTCTTCAGCAATTACAGAACAAATAATTAAACAATAAAAATCATAGATCAGCTGCCTGCTCTACAACATGTCAGGGATGATCTGGCAGTTAGTATGAAAAATAGACTTGGATTCTGTCCAACAAAAGTTAGGATTTTCCTTTTTCTTACTACTGTGCAGGTCCTCCCATCTCACCTGAGTTTGGCTTCAAGGAATGTGGTTTACTTTGTTTAGGAACAGGCCTTATCTATTTCAATGAATAGGCAACTATTTAATCACGTCAGAGATCTTTGGCTCTCCATGTGTTACAGCACCCCTAATCAAGAGACTGCCACTGGCTATGTTGGCCAGGATTTTTGGGGTTGATGCACAAAACATCTGGACTGCTATTACTCCCTCCAGAACTCTCAGTTCATTGATGTGCCACCACAAAATAAGCTCCATATAAACATTTCCCATTTCATCTTTTTTAGCTTACTGGCTTTTAACATTAAAGCTCCATTTCAACTCAGCCAGCATACATTTTTCAGAGAAAATAAAATTTATAAGGTAATTACATCGATAGAAATTATTTGTCAACATAGCAGTAAGATTTAAGTCATAATAGCCCCCACACACAAAAAAGACACCCTCCTCCAGATGGTTGATACCACAACAAATGCTGGGCAGGATTCAGGGGCACAGAACTGACAAAGCCTATTGCGGACAGCCGCTCTGCTTCCATTTCTCTCCTGTCATTCTTTATTACCTGGGATAGTGCCGTGAAAGCAGGGTGCCGAAGTGGTTTGGCTTCCCCGCTGCTTTCCTCACACTAGAAGTCACAACCTTGTTTTCAAAATAATCATTTCCACAAAAAAGCCTCTCAGGAAGCTGCAGAGGAAGGGCAAAGGGATTTTAAAATGCCCACCGTGAGTCTGTTTCCCCTTTTACAGCAGTTGGATGTGGCCTGCCAGCTACCTTCAGTCTTTACTTCCTATGGCAGCAGTTAAATTAGGAGTAATTTAACATTCCCAATTTAAGTTTCCGCAAGCCTAAACTGAAAGCAGTAATTCAAGCAATATTCTCCCTGTGATGGTGGCACTTTTTTTACAGCATCCTGAAGTAGATGACTTCACGGCAAGTTCTCACCCCCTCAAATATCTAGCCCTCTCCCTGCTAATGAATGTTAGCTGAGCATTGCAGTGGGCGTGTTTCACAAACTAGTGAAGTGTCCTTTCCTAGCATAGGCAGGCTTCGTCTCAACGCTCAGACGTCTTCCTTTTCGGGATGATAATTCGCAGAACCCTCCCCCCCTCCTCGCCAGCACAGCTAGTAGGTGGAGGGTTCTGAGAGTTGTACTCCAAAAAGTAACTTTTCCAACCTCTCATAAATGTGTAGCCTTTATAATTAAAATTGTAAACCGCCCGGAGAGTGCTTGTAGCGCTATGGGGCGGTATATAAGTCCAATAAATAAATAAATAAATAAAAATAAACTGTGAACATATAAGTGGAGTTGGGGCTGGAATACTGCAATCACTTGCCCAAATTCAGTCAGCTAGTTGCTATCAGGAACGAGAAAGGGGCAGGTGAAGTTTAATACTCCTGGTAATTCTGGCATCAAGTTTTACTTTACTTTCCACTTCTAGGAGTGACCAACAGCTGTTCCTTTTGTAACAGGAAACCCTATACATTAGATCTGGTTCCGAGACTGAGCATGCCTACTGTGCGCCTCACGTTCCTAACAGTCCAAGTGCCTTTGGCTGGACTGGCCAGAAGACTGTGCTGCTCTTTACCATTCTTGTCATGCACAACCCCAATGCTGACACAGTTCCCTATGGATAGCATTGACTTACGTGGAAACAAGGAAAAGCATACTGTTTATGTGCTGGACTGGCCAGAAGACTGTGCTGCTCTTTATCATTCTTGTCATACACAACCCCAATGCTGACACAGTTCCCTATGGCTAGCATTACTGACTTACGTGAAAACAAGGAAAAGCATATGCTACTGTTTATGTCTCACTTGATAGGCCAAACATGAAGCGAGAGCCAAGATTCCTGGAATCCTGAAGATGTTACTCCGTTTTCATCACCATCAGTCCCATCCATTGTGGCTGATGTCAGGGGATGATGGGAATTGTAACTTAATATCTAATATGGAAGGTTGTGGGCAAAAGGCCCTTCAGATAAGTTAAAGAGTAGATCAGTGCAAATGTAACAACAGCCGCTTAATACACCACGGTTTCTTAAGCAGAGAATGAAAGTCAAGGCTACATCTTTGTTCCCATCCTGCACGCGAATTGCTGCTTTGGTTATTCTTTCATGGTTTCTTTAAAGCATACTCTTCCTATTGCAACTGACACCATGGGGTTATCTTGGCTTCTTAACAGGGCATCCAATCACAGAGGGAAAAGTTTATAAGCTACCACTGAAAAGATACATTACAAACTTGAATCAAAGCAGCAGCTATGACTCAAAATCCACCAGAAAGTCAAATAAATAATAAACAGCTGGAAACCTGATTCACTCAAGGCATCTGTGAGCACACTGAATGCCTATTTCTAGATCAAGCTCACCCATCACCATAATCAACTTGTCTATCTTGAACCCCAAAATTTCTTTTTCTCAGCTCATTTCCCAAGCATTGCCACTTTGGAAGGAATCTGAGATAAGCTCAAACTCTACAGTGGCCTGCAAGATTTAGTTCCATGGGGTGGAGCAATAGCTTCCTCATCAACTTCAGCTCTCCCTGAAGCCAGAGGATGCCTATAGCTTTCATGATCTCTAAGTGAATAAGATGCTCCTCCCTTTCCTTGGATGATTCTCTCCCCCAGTTTTCGGGAGGGAAAGGGGTCACATGGTGGCAAATGTCTATAAGAATTCAGCATGAGTTACTCACAGAGTTACCAATTTTTTGCAAGATACCATTCTAAGGGTGTTACAGATAAGAATGGGAGGTAACGGAGGGGAAAAAGAGCAGGCCATAGGTTTCTGACAAGATGGGGTCAAGGCAGGGCAGCAAGTCTTGGTGGTGGTGGTGGATAATGATAACAGGCCCAAGATGACAATCCTGAAGCAAAGGAAATGGGCCCCTGGGCTGCTGATCGCAAGCGGCACCAAAGTTTTTTTTTTTTCCGGGAGAGCGTGCGTTGGTTAAGAAACAAGAGGAAATCTCCCCACTGTCTCATCTCATAATGGTAATGCCAATAAAAACTAATAGAATACAGCACCATGCAGAGAAGTGACATAAAAGCTCTTCCTCCCTTTCAGAGAGGACAAAGCAGAGCGGTCCATTCACACAGAACACGAGTCAATTTATTTGGCACAGCTCTTGCGAAGGGATGCAGAGCCATAGGGCCACGCAACGTCATCTCCCAGAGGCCTCTACAATGAGCAAGGGCTTCACAGCTGAAGCTTAGTGGTGGCGGGGCAGGCACCTGGCGCGGAAAGTGTCCCCTTCAAGACAGGAAATCTGAAACACGCCGTTTTATAGCGTCGCTTTTAAAGAGTCATGTTACTGAAGAGCTAGTCACACACATCCTGCGGTACAAAGGACAGGAACATTCCCAGAACTGTGACAATTGTGATGTGTTATTCACCAACTTACTAGGACATCTTCAGCAGTTCATTAGTTTCAGGCTTCCACACGCCTCTCACCAACTGTTCAAAGTTGGATATTAGGCCGCCACCAGCTCCTATAATTCAATAAAAAAATGATTGCATGTGTAAATTGGTTCAAAGGGTCTGAGGCACTCAATCCTGCCTCTAGTTAGGACAACTGAAAAATTGTCACATTACTTTCAAGAGGAACAAGATAGGGCCCTCAAGTTAGAGACATAAATGTGATGACCTACTTTACAGTTAGTGAAATTGGATCCTCAATTTGAGGCTCTTTAGAAAGCATCTTCTTCTGAGAGGGCAAGCCCTAATATTTCTGGTGAAATATTTCAAACGGAATCATGTTACATTCTGTCAAAATGGAACAAAGGGAAGAAATGCAGAGAGTAGCCAATATCACTTGGCACTCTGGAGTTCAGAATTCATAACTATTCCATTTAGTGAAAAATGAGTAAGTTTGAGAGGAAACACTTATTTTTATTCATACAGCCCTTCCCCTGCCCCCCAAGGGACTCAGGATAACTTAAAACAACAAAAATAATACATTAAAAAATTAATTAGAACAACTTTAAAAGCAACTAAATCATTTTGATGTTGTTAAAGATCTCACCCATGGAAATTAAGTGTCCATCTTCCCATTATCCACTTTAGCTACTAAAAGCTTGTTTCACTACAAAAGTCTTTGCCTTCCAGTGAAGAAACAACAGATTTTGGATAATCCTAGTCCTTCACCTCTTGGCAGGGAATTACACAACCTAGAGAGCAGGCATTAAGGAGGCCCTTCTCTTGGGAAGACCACAATGAGGGCCTTCCCCAAAGATCTTGCAGCTGAGGTATGCTCACAGGAAAGAATGTGGTCCTTCAGATAGCCTGGACCATATAAGGCTGTATATATCATAACCAATACTTTGAATTGTGCCTAGAAGTAACCAGTGAATGTGTCACATAAAGAAAACCACTGGCTCCCTGAAACCAGCCCCAGCCAACTGTGCAGCACCAGAATTTGGATGTGCCAGCGTTTCTGAACACATTTCCAAGACAGCACTGCAGACAGCATGTTGCAATAGTGCACAAAATATGTAAACAAGACATGCATCACCACCACCAGATTAGACATCTCCAGGAACAGGTAGTGTTGTGTCCTACGTAGCCTCTAGCCTCATTAATCTTGGGCCCAAAATTACTGTGAATAGTGGGTTAACCAATTAGATGACACAGTTCAGAGCTGTTTCCTTCTGCAAAGGTCTCAGCTCTGCCACTCTTGCTTCACCGCTCCCCACGTGGTTAGTCCCCGTGACCATGTTCATGTACCAGAGCGCACACAATATCTATGCAGATAGCTCAGTATCCTCTGAAATCCTAAGTCATGTACAAAATTATCCTTTCCATGCACAGTTCCTCTTCTGCTGCCACTTGCACAAGAGGAAAATTGCAATCCCCTTGCAAAAGTGGAAAACCCTGTTGTTGTTTTTTAACAAGGGCAAAAGAAGGCATGGCTTACTGCAGGCCAGAGATCACCAGGGAAAATGCTGAGTTCTTTGTGTTTGTGACAGAATTCTGCCTTACAGGTAAACCAGATGAAGTCCTTAGCTGAAATGTGCCTTCTAGAAAATCTGATTTCCTCTCATGCCTGGTGAAAGTCCAGCAAAAAGAGACAATGGGGTATGTAGTAATGGGACTAGCCAACAGGGCACTATCCAGTGAGGCCAGGAACCAGTGCATCTCCCCACATGTATATCTTTCTCTTTAGGGGTCCTCCAGTCAAACTTTTTTCACATTCGTATCATCTGTTCTTGTCAAGAGAGCTTTTTCCAGTGCACGTAAGTTGGCAGGACAAGGAAAACTGTACATGTACTGCCTCATGAAGATGCACAACTGATCAAAAGTCTGGTCTGTATCTTAGCTATGTAGATTGTGATCTGGCTAGATAAATATGTTGGAAATAAACTTAAGCTGTGTGAGAAGATTTTACAGAATTGTGGTATTCTTTTTTTTTCTTGGCCAAACTTTATTCCATATGGGTAGTGCGTAAGAAGGAAGGATAAGCATCTTGTTCACAAGGCTAATTTATGTTAAGCATTTCCATCTGGGTATTAGAACACCCAATCAGAACTCCCAGAATCCTTCAACCATCACTTCCACTGGTCTTGTTCACTGGAGGATTATGAGAACTATAATGTGAAATGTAATTTTTTTTCAAGAATTGGGATATATTTACACTCAAATGGAGAGCCCCATAATGGTGGGAAGTCATTATGCCCTTTAATTATAAATAACTAGCATTTGTTCCTTTTTAAATATTTAGTTAGATTTCTATAAAATCATGTTTTTAAAGAAGATGATTAAGGATTTTGCAGTATGAAAATTATCTTCTCCGACCAAAGCAACAGATCAGCTCTGGAATGGCTCTGTGGAATGGAAGTGAGACACTGTTACTGTGCTCATCTTTTGCTCTCACCTCCCAACCCTCTGGTTAATAAGGATAACTAACCCTATGTAATATGAGGCTGCTGTGTAACATTGGCAGGCATTTGAGAGTTAGGTGCCATCAGTATTCTGAACTGCACTTTTCCTTGTCATGGTGGCAGATGAGGATATGCAGGTACTGGACCAAATAATGGGAGTGATGAGGACCAGTCAACTGAAGCTGAATCCCAGACAAGACAGAGACACTGTGGTTTGGTGGTTCCCATGTCCTGCCATTGAGAAGGCAATCTGTTCTGAATTGGGCTGTACTACTCCTGAAGGAGCAGGTACATAGTGTAGAGATACTCCTGGATCTATCTCTGTCAAGGGAGGCACAAGTGGATATGGTGGCTCAGAGTGCCTGGAGCAAGCTTTGTTGGTTATGGCTAGTCCTAGACAAGAACAATGTGACCACAGTAATTTATGCCCTGGTAACTATCCATTTGTACTACCATAATACACTCTTTGTGGCACTACCTCTGAAGACGCCTTGGACATCAATCTTGTGCAATATGCAGCAGGTAGATTGCTGGCAGAAACACTTTCCAGAACCCATCTAGTACTGAGCTGGGGGGTAATGAGCTTCTGACCTGAGTTCAAGGTGGTATGACAACTTTCAAGGCCTTGGACGGGTGGGGGCCTTGACAGCTTAAGAAACACTTGTCTCCTTACATACCAGTCATCAAGATCTGCAGGGGTAGGGACTCCTCTATGTACCAACGAGAGGAGCGCTGTATGTGGAGAAACGGGTGAGGGCCTTCTCACCTACAACATCGCATTTGGACTTTTTCAATACTGCCTTTATTTCAACACCAAGCTGAAACCTGGCTGTTCATCTGAGAAACAGAGAAATCATAGCCTGGTCTTCACAGGAGCACCTTCACCGCTCCTTCGCAGTTTTGCTTCTTAATTACAGTCGTGCCCCGCTTAACGATTACCCCGTATAATGACAAATCCACTTCACGACAATGTTTTTGCGATCGCAAAACAATGTTTTAATGGGGGGGGGGTTTCGCTTTGCGACAATCGTTTCCCTGCTTCAGGGACTGATTCTTCGCATTACGATGATCAAAACAGCTGATCGTCGGGTTTTCAAAATGGCCGCCGGCTGCTCAAAATGGCTCCCCGCTGTGTTTTTGGATGGATTCCTCGCTTTACAGGCACTGAAAATGGCTGCCCCTATGGAGGATCTTCGCTGGACGGTGAGTTATTCAGTCCATTGGAACGCATTGAACAGTTTTCAATGCATTTCAATGGGCTTTTATTTCATTTTATGACGTTTTCACTCTACAGCGATTTTGGTGGAATAAATTACCGTCATCAAGCAAGGCACCACTGTATTTCGACTATTAAGTTAATTTAAACTGTTTGTAAACTATTTTGTTTAAATTCTATTAGATTCTTCTGATGTGATTTTATCAACTGTGCCCCACTCTCAGAAACATCAATGAATTAGACATATACTTACAAATAAGAGAGAAACAGACCAATGAAAAGGTTCTTGCCATGATTACAACTGGCACAGACAGATGGGACTTATAAAATTGAGACAGGATTTATGATGAAGTAGGTAGGTTTTCCAGGGATCAGGACACACAGCATGGTTTCACCCAAGTGCAGATTCAGCCTCCAGAACTGAAAGCTAAGCCAAGATTCCTTTTTCAAAAGCCACAGGAACAGCTCCACAGGACTACAGCTGAAACTTTGATTACACTTCCTGAGAAATCAGTGGGACTTAACTCTGACAAAAACGTTGGTTAGACTGGGCTTCATGACTCTGAGGAGCAGCCCAGAAGCAAGAGGGGCATTATCAATTTGGATATAAATCGGTATTTCTTCTGAGACAGTTAACGTCTAAAGTATGTACTGTTCTCCAAAGTTTCCCTATTTAAGACAGTAAAAGTCCCCCCCCCCAAAAAAAAATTAAAAAGTTTAACACCTTACCTCTGGCCCAGCCAATGGCTATCATGACTATCCAAGCATTCTTATAATGGCTGTGTGCATGGGCAATTCCACCTGTTATTTTCCATGTTCTAGTCACTTCCTTCATTCCTGCAAACATCAGTCGTATAGGCAAAAAAGAAGAACAGCAGTAGGCTAGATCACGTGGAGAGTAAAATATCAGATACCTTTGGGATTTAAAAAAACAGGAAAAAAGATTCAAATTTAGCTCTTTCAAGATGTTCGTTACCAAAGACTACAGTAAAAAATGAAACAAACACAGAACTTTCTGTAAAAACAAATTATAAAAAAATAACAATGGAGCTGTCAGTTACTTACATGATACTGTATATATACATTTTGGCTAGCAACTTGTATGATGTTTCTAAACATGTGCAACTACCACTGTAGGTATTGCCAAAGCAATCTGATGACATGCTGGTCACATACAAATGGCAGCTTGTAAGATAATCAGAGAGGCCTTCTGCTGTGAGAAGTTCCATGTACATAAACAACAAGCACGATACAACCCTTTTGACTATGTGTGCAAGTGTATGCATGTATGTGTACACACAAACTAGAGGGAGGAGAAAAAGAGTGTTGATTTGGTTTTAATTGTTTGCTTATCAGTATATTTACATGTCTGTTGTTACTGCAGGGCATTGGGGGTTTTAATTTTTAATCTTTTAAACTGCCAGTAGTATTTATATACTACTCAGGCAGTATATAAACGAGTGCATGCATGGATTAATAGTATCTTAGGATATAAGGTAGATTTTAAAAATATTTTTTGCATTATTTCTTGATGGTGGTGGTGTTTTTATTAAATATTGTGATTCTATATTCATATGGAGAAAACCTCCTATGTTCGAGGTTAGTCCTTAGCAAATTGTCTAAAAATATTTAAAATACACGATCAAGAAATGAACAGTCATGCAAGGTAGATTTCTGAAAATATTACAAGGGGTATGTGTGATTTCTCTCCTGCAGAGGGGCCCAAAATAGCACATTCACTGGTGTTATGATTTGATGAGTAATTACTTCCTTAAGTCGACATTCACCAGGCTCTTCTCCATCTCTGATTACTCCTCCCTCCCTTTCATTTTTTGAAAGTTACGTTCATCCACCATAAAACACAAAAACATGCACAAGAAAGCTGGTTAACCAGTTCTTTGCCCCCTGGCTTGAGATAATCTCAATCAGACAGGAAAAAAACAGGGGGGGTGGGAATGCTGCAACCTGAAACCCTTAATGCGCAGATGAGTCAGAGTTATTGTGTCCTGAGGTGGCCAGTCACTGACTTCAACTTCTCAGGAATCCATCAGTCAGCATCAACAATTAAGGGCTGTGGAAGTTATAGTCCCACAACACCAGGGAACTAAGACTGGAAAGCAGTGATTTAGAAAAGAAGAGCTGGTGGTTTGGGACACCATTCCTGCCATCTCCTCCATGTTGCCTTTAAAGTTAGATATCAACATTAAATTACGAAGCTACTCATCAGAGATTTGGGAGTCCCTCTTTCAAGTTCCCCAGTCCTCAGCAAGAGATCCTTTAATCTGGTGGTCCCCAACCTTGGGTAACCCAGGTGTTCTTGGACTGTAACTCCCAGAAATCCTGGACAGCACAGTTAGTGGTGAAGGCTTCAAGGAGTTTTAATCCAAAAACATCTGGGAACCCAAGGTTGGGAACCACTGCTATAGACATATCACAAAACCCCACTATTTATTCATAAGACTTTCACAACGCACAGTAAACCTATCTGCATCTGCTTTGTAGCAGATTTGCTATTATGTCCTCTGATCTAAGGAAAAGTGTACAAAGTTTGAGTCTGCACCATTAGACAATTATAAAAGAATAGTTTCTTTGCAAAAAAATAATGATTTCCAATAGATACCGGTAGATGTCACTAGCTGACAAGAATGACAGAATCCAAAGCTTTGACAGCTTGCTCAATGGCCCAAAAACTTCTTTTCATATTGTATAGAATCCTCTGGCATGGCTTTAAATTAAAAAAATGAGATCTTCTAATTAATGTCTTTAACTAAGCACTTTTTAAATGAAAGAAAAGAACATTCCATGAAAAATAAACAAGATTCCGATACTGTAAAACATTCCTAAGTGAGTCAGCTTTTACACTAGGAGTTGACGGGAGTCCCAGTTGAACAACAATGGTCTTTGCTCCTGTCTTAGTTTTATTTATAAATTGTATACTTTATTAGTTACACTTATATCATGACTTTCCTCCAGTTAGTATGAGGTGGTATATGTGTCCCTCCTCCCACGACTTTATTCACAACAACTCCTGAATTATGGTCCAACATTCTAATCATTGAACCGTCATATCAGGAAGCTGGCTGGCAGGTAGAAATAGGCACTGAGCACTCATCACATGGATGCCAGCTGATCTGTGATTCGTTTGCTTGTGATCTTCCTAGCCTTTCTTCTATTTTAAGGAAAGTATCTACTCTCTTGTCGTCTTATCCACATTTCAACAGGCCTTATTTCTTGTGTACTGTTTTGGAGGAAGAAAGGGAATGGTTTTCTGGTTAGAAAGTCAATGGATATACAAAATATTGAACAGCAGAGAAGCAAGGCCTTCAAAGTATTTTCTTATGACTAATTTTGTTCTTTAAAATACTGTACTAAAGGTCATGAAGCCTATGTTATTACCAAGAGCCAGGCAATCCATCACATATACACACAGAGTAAAGGGACTGGTCCTCGTTAACATTATAATGTAGGGAAATCTCATTGAAGAAGAAGCCAAAAATCATCAACACTCTTGTATGTATGTGTGAAAACGAGACAGTCACCATGTATGAGTGTGAAAACGAGACAGTGAAGAAAGCTGACGCTGGTCCTCGTTAACATTATAATGTAGGGATGTCTCACTGAAGAAGAAGCCAAAAATCATCCACACTCTTGTATTTCCAGTCACCATGTATGAGTGTGAAAGCAGGACAGTGAAGAAAGCTGACAGGAAAAAAATTGACACACTTGAACAATCTTCGCCAAGTCAAAAATTCTCTATTTGAACAGCTGCCCAGGTCAAAACTGGTCTGAAAAATAAAAAGTCTTAAGAAAGAAGAGCAGAGGGCTTGAAATGGTCCTATGTTTCCACTTAAACAGCAGACTGTGCTGGCACACAGGTCATCTGGTCACAGTCAGCCCCCACTAAAGTGAGACAGATTATATATCTATTAAAATGGCTGTAATTTTTTCAAATTATCCATCTACCCGTATAATAATAATTATGTCCAATAAATTCTGATTTACCGTGAACCCTTTCCAAGGTTTTCCAGGAACTCAGAAGTGGTTCACGATTCTCTTCCTCTAGGGGTCTGTGCACCATTCTCTTCTTCCTGGGACTGTGCAGCTTGCCCAAGGCCACTCAGGCTGGCTTATCTCCCAGCAGGCACAGTGGCAGGAACTGAACTCCCAGCCTCTGCCTCTGCTGCCAGATACCTAAACCATCACATAGCTACCAGTCAGCTATTCATGTAAACTACAATACAAACATTTTATGCACATCTGTACTGTCTTTTCACGGGAAAACACTTCTTCTTTACTGACATTATGTAAGCGGCCATCCTACCACCTAGTAAAGAGCAAGCGAGTCAACCTGTTTTGTGAATCAATCCCAAAAAAGGAGCAGAGATCAATCTTAGCTAAGTTTGAACTGAATTAAGATACAACTCTAGCCAACAATATAATCAGATGGTGACAGCAGCCATGAAATTAAAAGATGGCTGTTTCTTGGGAGGAAAGTGATGACAAACTTAGGCAGCATCTTAAAAAGCAGAGACATCACCTTAGGTCCACGTAGTCAAAGCTATAGTTTTTTCCAGTAGTGATGTATGGAAGTGAGAGCTGGACCATAAAGAAAGCTGACCGCCAAATAATTGATGCTTTTGAATTGTGTTGCTGGAGGAGACTCTTGAGAGGCCCCTGGACTGCAAAGAGAACAAACCTATCCGTTCTGAAGGAAATCAACCCTGAATGCTCACTGGAAGGACAGATCCTGAAGTTGAGGTTCCAATACTTTGGCCATCTCCTGAGAAGAGAAGACTCCCTGGGAAAGACCCTGATGTTGTGAAAGTGTGAAGGCATGAGGAGAAGGGGAAGACAGAGGACAAGATGGTTGGACAGGGTCATCAAAGCTACCAACATGAATTTGACCCAACTCCGGGAGGCAGTGGAAGAGAGGAGGGCCTGGTGTGCTCTGGTCCATGGGGACATGAAGAGTCGGACACAACTTAACGACTAAACAACAACAACATTCCTTCTGTATTTGCACTTTGGATCAGTGTTGCAGATGGTAAAGACCAAATTAGATGCTAAAGTTCTAAAGGCTTGGTAAGTGTCTTAAATGTGTCATTAATCTATAACAGGAGTTTATTGATCTTGTTATGTGAATATTCATTAATATTTCATACTGTTAACTGTATAGATAAGAAAAAAGAGCTGTAACTGTCCCCAGCTAAATTAATATATATTTTTATTTTATGCTTAGCTCCTAAAGAAGGCCATAGCTGAAATGTGTTGCGCCTGAGCTTTTTAAATAATAAAGTCTGTGTTGTCAATATTTTTATACATCTGAAGAAAAGCAATACCAGACCAAAGCTCTACAAACCTGTTATTTGCATGTTTTCCAAAGGATGTTCCTTCATCTTTTTATTTTTTATTTTTAAGAGAAAGTTCGGAATTAGTAAACATTGTCATTGGAAACCAAGGTCAAAATCATACATTATGTAAAAGAAAGACAGGGAAGAAAGAAGAGGGGGGGAAATCAACTCATCTGAAATGTGGTGTTGGAGGAGAGCCATACAGATATGAAAGATAACTAGAAAGGTAGAGAAGCGGGTGCTCAATCAAATCAAGTCTGAATGTTCTCTAGAGCAAAAATGAGTAAGCTGAGAATATTTATTTATTTATTTAACTTATATGCCGCCCACACTACCCGAAGGTCTCTGGACGGCTTACAGCATTTAAAATACAATAAAAAGGCAAAATAAAAGGGCAAATAATTAAAATGCAATTAAAATATATATTCTAAAAATTGCCATCAGACCTACAGCTGATATTATTTCAGTTAAAAGCCATTTGGAACAGGAAGGTTTTGACCTGGCGCCGAAATGTCATCGGTATCAATATCGTAATGAAAATACAGGACTGCCCAGAAAACACA